GAAAAATTAGATTTTTATTGGGATTATGCTAAAGGTGAATCCATATGGCAGGACAATGAACAAGAAATACTCCAAAATTCTGACTCAGAATATGAAGATTCAATTAATAATGAAGACATAATAGAGGAGATGTACTTTCAAACGCCACTGAAAAGAAGAAAAAGAAAGTTTAAAAAAAGAAAAGTAACCTTTAAACCAAATTTACAGGAAATAAACACACCCATGCAATTCAACAACCCTACGGCAGTATCTACACCTTATTATAATTCAAATAATGAAACAGATTCTGAAGAGGAAATTATAGAAGTACAAGAAAAAGAAGATACAAAGAAAACATTTAATAAATCGAAAATTAAAACATCATTATCAAGTATTCCTCCAGAAATACCCATAAATTATTCCAAATTAAATGAAAGAAATTCTAATATAACGAGCAGCAGAGAAAACCTAACATATAATCGAAGTAATTATATTCATTTCTTGTCAGCAGATTGCGAATTTATTTCACCTATAAGTAGACTTTTAATAGATATAGGAGTAATAGATCCCGAAGAAATGAAATCTAAAAATCCTATTAAAGGACAAATATTTGTAACACCACGAGGAAAATACAAAATTTACACCTTAATAATAAAAGAAAATCATTTTGATCCTTTAATAAAAGAAGATATCATTGCAGGAATACGTAATTTAAAAAGTCTTCTTTACCACGAAAAAACAGAAGAAGTAAGAATATCTAGGCATGGAGACTTTACCGATGAATTACCTAGAGGAGAGTTAATACAAATTATCAATTCTATTTTTGAAAACAGTAATATTAAAATTACTATTTGTCATGGACAAGTTGTAGTACCTAAAGAAGAAATTAGAAACGATATTATCAGCGAATACCACAAAAGCAAAATAGCAGGACATAAAGGCATTACAAAAACATATAGAAGAATAAGAGAAAGATTCTATTGGCCTCGAATGAAAGATGAAATAACGGAATTTGTAAGAAAATGTATAACATGCCAATCTCAAAAACTTGTACGTATTAAAACCCGAGAACCAATGCTTATTACTGATACTCCTTTAGACGTTTTTGATAAAGTTTCTCTTGACACTGTAGGTAAATTACCAACAACCCCAGATGGAAATTGTCATATCCTAACTATGCAAGATCATTTATCTAAATACTGCATAGCTGTTGCAATACCTGATATTTCTGCAACCACAATCGCTCATACTGTTGCAAAAGAATTATTTTCAGTATATGGAGCACCAAAAGTAATATTAACTGACAAAGGTACCTCATTTATAGGAAAGTTAATGTCTAAATTATCAAAATTATTTAAAGTACAACAAGTCACAACATCAGGTTATAGGCCTCAAACAAATGGATCTTTAGAACGAAGTCACGCTGTTTTAGCAGATTATATAAAACAATATGCTAAAGATTATGATGATTGGGATAGATTACTTCCTTTTGCTATGTTTGCATATAATACTTCAGTACATGAAGCTACTAATTTCACTCCATATGAGTTAGTTTTCGGTAAAATAGCCCGTACTCCTAGCTCATTTCCTGAACAAGAAAAACTAGAAACATATGGCTCATACTTATCAGAATTAATAACCAGATTAAATGAAATTCGAATCTTAGCAGCAAATAATTTAATAAATGCTAAATTAAAATCAAAAGAAAATTACGATAAACTAATGAAACCATTTTTAGGAAAAGTAGGAGATAAAGCTTATGTAATAAAAGAAGGAATGAAAAGAAAATTCGATCCTTGTTATCATGGTCCATACAGAATTGTGGCTATATTGGATAAAAATAATGTAATATTAATAAATGAAGATGGACAAAGGTTTCAAAAACATGTAGATAAATTAAAAATTGCTTATGAATAGGTTAATAACATAATTTTCCTGTTTTAGATGACTGAATCATTCCTATTCACTGCACCTCTACAAGGAGAATTAATTGGAGCTTTCATTTTCCCAAAAGGGGATATTTCATCAATTGCTTACCCTAAGGGAATTCTTGAGGAACTAACTGCCGAATATAATCTTAATAAACCCATTTATATTATAGAACCGGGCACAGGCCCTTCATATAAAAAACCCTGGCAAGTTAGGTGTACTGTGACAGACTCTAAAAATAATAATACTTTCATTGTATTAGGGGACGGATGTTGCAAAGTTAGAGACTCTGAGCATTCAGCAGCTCGAAAAATTCTAGAACATTTAAATAAGATTTACTACTTTAGTGAAGAAGAAAAACCAAAAATGATCACCAATTCGACATATGTAATGTCAAGACAAGAACCAACAATAATAAAATTAAAATTATATAAGTGGGAAAATTGCTGCGAACTTTGTTATTCAAAGGGACATTTAAAAGAGCAATGTCACGGCGTAATACGAAACAAACGTTTTCTAAATAATATACAAAAACCAGACGAAAACAACTATGACGAAATTGATGATTTTTGGGAATTGCCATCCCCTACAAAAAAGCATTAAATAGTATTTAATAATATGACAATTAAACAATAATCACTTTGATTATTGTATATGTAATAATTCCATAATAGTCATATTATTTAATTATCCTTATTATATAATAATCTTATGTCTAATTACATTATCATTATTAAAAATGTATGTTATCATAATATTTTATTAATTACTGATTAACATTTTAATAATTATATCATTAAATAACTATATAATCATAATAATATTAATACATATTCAAAAAAAAAAAAAAATTTTTTATTCATTATTTATATAAAATAAATAATAATTATAATCATAAAATTAACAAAATATTTTGAAAATAAATAATTTATTGTACATAAGATAAAATAAATAATCAAAAAAAAAAATAATTAAAAGAAAGACGAAGGAAAAAGAAGGAAGGGGATTTGGCGGTCGCCTTCTTCCTTCCTCTTTATTTTAAAATTTTATTGTAAAAAAAAATATAACTAAAAATAAAAAAAAAAAAAAAAAAAAAAAATTTTTATTCCACAGATGGAGATTCCATTCCTAGGAATAATAAATGACGCCACAACATACATATCAATAGCATTTAAGCTATTAATATTCATTATATTAATAATAGTGCTGAAAAACCTATACTTTTGCTATAAGATTATAGCAATGAGAAGAAGAAGGAGAGAAAATCAACCAAACGCATAATAGACCAAGAAATATCAAACAATTTTGGCCTCAACACATTGAGGACAATGTGAAATCTAAGGAGGGAAGACAGTTATCAAAATCAGAAAAATTTTGAAGAATTTAAGACAATAAAATAACAAGAACAATGTGAGGCATCCTTTATAGACGTAGAACGACGCAGCAAAGGCAACGTAAAACAGCCTTAAAGCTTACGCATCGATCACATACATCGACCGGAGAGTGAAGCTATTCTCCAAGTGCGCATGTTGCACAGCGATGGCCGCCTGCTGGATGCATGCAAACATTTAACAACACTGCCAATACCTCCAGCTTCTATTTCACATACGCCTATATAACACTCATCATTGAATAGCGGTAAAATAATTTGAATTTAAAAATTTACACTGCTATTAAATGATGAAGAATAAATCATTATATATATTTTACCTATATAAAATAAAAAAAAAAAAACTAAATCATTAATAATTAATAAATTATACATATATTATGCTTTATTATATTATCCATTGCTATTAATTAATTAATAAATAAACAATAAAACAATGCGCTTATATATGCTTGTTTGCTTGAAAATATAATCAAATAAATAATAGAAGCATTGTTAATTTTATTATTATTATGTTGAAATAATATTATATAATTAAAAAACACCATATTGTGATTAATAAAATAATAAATTTGATGATTTAAGGAAAAAGTGACAGTAAAGATTAAGATAAATAATAATTTGTTATTAAAATTTTCAACATTAATATCAATATTATTAATAATAAATAAACTAATTTTAGTTATCATATATATATAACATTAGCTAACAAATTTATTTCTAAAAAAAAAAAAAAAAAAAAAAAAATTATTAAAACACTTCAATTATAATGAAACTAAGTCTAACATATTGAAATATATTAACATAAAAATTTTAAACTAATAAACAATTATAAATAAATGCAAAATAAAGGCTTCGAGTTGAGCCTTGAGTATCAGGCAAGCATGAGAATGAGGGAGGGTACTCGTTGCGCGGAGGAGTGGCGAGGCCCACGCCTCCCGCTAGCCTCCCGCGCGCTGGGTCCCACGCCTTCCTTCTCATGCCAAGCGACGGCCGAGTAGCTAGACTCGCCATCTTGTCGCACCGTGTATGGCTGCCATAGCGTACTCGCTGAACCTACCTCCGTGCGCATTCTAGTTCCCTAACACTAAAAACGAATGTTTCGCGTTGGATTCATCGATTTAATCGATAGATCGATGGATCCAACACCTAATAATATTACTCAAAATTCTATTTGCCTAAAACTATATATTGAAAATTATAAATATTGAAATTATTAATACAGTAATAATTCTGTATATATGCATATATTTTTTTTATGTGAGTACGCATGTATTTCTACGCATACAACTATCTACGATTAAAATTTTTTTTTATATTAATAATCAAATTGTTAGCATTATTATTATAGTAATTACTTTAATTATTAAAAAGAATTTTTATTTTAGATAGACTTAAAATTCAAAAATTTATCATTTATTAAAATTTTATTTAATAATATATCAAAAGATAAAAAAAAAAATATAAGGGATAGAATAGAAAGACAAGGACGGTGAAATAAAATTTCAAAAATTTTATAAAAATTAAAATTTTTATTAAAACATTCACACTACAAAGTGAATTCACACACACACACATTCAAAAAAAAAAAAATAAATAAATATATATATATTTCTAATTAATTCAAAATTAACTTAAACATAATCTTAAATATAATGCAAATACACGCACATACTCAATCGCTCACAATCTCCACACACACAAACACTCACAATTGCTCACAATTCCCACACACACATAAAGAAATTTTTAAGGGATCCTCTTCTGGTTCCGGCCTTAAAAACCAGGAGGATCCCGATTGTAGTGCCACCGACGAATGGGATCGCACGTTGACGGGATGATCCTCAAACGGCCTCCAAAAGGTGTTGGATTGAGGCTCGCAACCTGGCACAGGTTGTTCAACTTCAATGGGATCCACCTGCTCGATTATTACACTATCAATTTGTGGTTCCCATGACGGGCCAGGTTGCGGCTCCCATGACGGGCCAGGTTGAGAAGCAATGGCTTCCTCAGCCCCCTCTCTGAGCCAAACCATCGTCCTCGGAAAGATTTTCGGTGTTTCTTCATAATCTATAACAAAAAAAAAAAGACGATATATATATAAGGAATATGAGGATGGTGAAAAGAAAAGAAATTCAAAAATTTTGTAAAAATGAACTTACTGGCTCTCAGGATAGCTTGAGCCTCTTCGGAGGAAGGTAAGGGGATTTGACATTCGCCGCAGAAGCAACCAATAGGGCGACCAGAACGACTGTGAGAAAAACAAAGAAAATACGTATAATTTATATGCACTAGGACAAAGAAAAGAAAAAAAAAAAAATATATATATATATATATATATATATATATATACTTACAACAAGGAGTTGAACATAGAGGTCATCGTCCCCGAATTCTCTTTCAACTCCTGTTTCAGCCCTCTTAGCTGCTTCATCCTTTCCTTCCTCAAGGTGTTATCCTTTACCACACCTTTCCGAGGACGACCAGGCCGCGCCATGTCCTCCAACACCTCAATTTCTTCCGCAGAGTAATAAACTGACGCTGCTAGGCCTTGCAGCGTCAGAAAGAAATTGATTACGCTGGTTCCACATTTTTTTTCTTGTGGCACTAAAAACAAAAAAAGAAAATAATCCATAAATAACTAAGTAAAATTTTCACTTATAGCACTATGTAACAACACTTCCTAAAGCACTTACTGATGGCAGTTGATGGATATTCTTCGTCGACAAATGCGCGCAAACTGATGAGATCTCCTGACCTCCTGCATCATAAAGGGATGAAAAATGCTGACCTAAAACAATTCTAATGTACGCACACAACAATCTTAAGGTCATTAACTGTACCACGAAAGAAGAAATTCATACCTACCTCAAGAAGATAGCCATAACACTTTGAATACACAAACACGCATCACAATATTGTAGATTCATTTTGATGTCATTTCACCATTCTTGTCATCATATTAGCTACTACAGATAAGCTCAAGGGATATCAATGTCACAATGAATGTAGGTCAGTAAGCGTAAGGACTATTAAAAGATAGTCTCAATTTCAAAAATTCCAGTCTTATAATCATGTATCTGCGACAACTGGAATTAATTTCATCGGGACGATGAAAAATCTAAGGGGGGGAGACTGTTACATCCTGGTAACAATTTTCCCTAATTTTCCTTAAAATTATCATTAAAATAAGACATTTTATATAATTCTATGATAATTTTACAATACTTAAACTATATGTCTTATTTTAATGTATTTATTTATGTATATATTGATAGGATAGAGTGTGGAAACGAAATTGATCTCAAAAGAGATATGACATTCGTTTTCACCATATAAGTTCAGAAAGTTGAAAAGCTAAAAATAGGATATATGTAAGCAAAATGTGTAGCAAGTTCGAGCTTGTTTGTTTATACGCGTGAAGAATGTGAAGGTTGTGAAGATCCAAGTGTAATATGATCTTCAAAAACCCATTGTCAGCATATAAAAGAGAGAATTCAGAAAGAAGAAGATTCAATGTCATACATGCGATGTAGACCATTACCATATAAGGAAAGTAATTCTATTTATAGATCACCCCTCCTCAATAATATGACATTTCTCCCACTAATTAGCATAATCGACTAGTATATAAACAAGAGCTTTTTCCATAAAGCTTGTCAAAAGTTCCGGTGCAATCTCTAACATCGTAGAGCGACCCTTCAGTTTACTTTCGCCCTAATTATTGTATTCTTTCCTGATAGCCAATAGGTGCAAGTTAATTTGACTTTTCACTTAGAACATAGTTCTTTCCTGATAGCCAATAGGTGCAAGATAAGCAAATTAACACTTAGAATCAATAATTTAATAGAAATAACTGTCGTATTTATAACTATAAATACTAAAGAAATCTTGCATTATCTCTTTTTCTAAATTTGTCAATTTAGTATATGTTGCTTCTCTTACACCTGCTATAAAATTCATTCCTGTCAAAGGTGCGAGTGACGAGAAATAACAATAAAGAACATTGCAATTCTTTAAATAGTTATAAAACAATTTAAGTCGTTAAAGTTACACAAGTGCAACCAAAACGAACTATTTCAAATCAAATCAAAACCAATTATAACGACTAAGCTATAATCATCGATTTATCCGACTTCATTGCTAAAAGTAAGTAAAAGAATTGTAAACTTGTATCATTAATGTATAATCATTACTATATAATTATTATTTAATCAATAAATGTTATAAAAGGGAATATTTGACTTGTTATTGTAACGCAAAACCCGTAGTTTTGACAAGTGACCACGATCCTACATAAAAATAAATATCAGGCTTTACCAACCTGATTAATCAGCCTTATTACATTCAAGTAAATAAAATTCATTTTATTTAAAAACCACGCCTAGTTCGGAACGTAACAAATCAATTAAGAAACAGTAATTTATTTATTTAAAGAGAGAATAAACCAAAAAGAAAAGTTCAATTCTTATACTAAAGTAAAACCTTTTGTGAAACAAGGAATTTTTAAGTCTGATCCTGTAAAAGTTTACAAATTGATCAGTGATACTTACAACTACCTCTTATGAGGGTCGACAAAAAAGATGATTCAAGTGGTTGACACTTGAGTATTTAACGCAGCGGTGTTATTTCAACTTCACACAGAATCGTTGTTTTACACACACTGTCTTTAGTTCGTAACTTCTGATATTTCACTTGGTATTTTAGAAATACTTCAAAAGTTATACTAATACGACGGTTACATGCGAATTTTAATAGTGTCTCACAATTCAGTTTATAAGAGAACTTATTCTGTTGAACACGAGTTTACTTAATTTTAGAAATTTGCAAGTTTAAATTAAGTGCATAACCGAAGGGTCTCTCGACAGAACGTTAATCTCTGCACAAATGTCCTTTATAAGTAGTTTGGATATGATTTTGCTGATTTTTGAAAATATACTCGCAAGCCGGGCGATCAAGAGAACTTATTCTTTTGAACACGAGTATACTTGTACTGTTGGACTTATAAGATTTTACAATTATCGAAAGAGCAAAGTATTGATTTATTATTTGACGTGAAGTGCGATCTTAGAACCGGAGAACTGACGACGCCCCATGCTAATTTCAGGGTTGTTATACTAGCAAAATCATCCTTCAGTGGGAGAAAATGAGCAGAGATCACGTCCTGATCGAATTTTAATTTTAGAATCACGAAGACAATTTCTTGAATCTAATAGATATAGGTCGTAGTAAAAATTAATTGCTTGCAAATATTAACAGAAGGAATGGGAGAGAACCAGACATTTTCTTATATATGGGCATATCTCTAGAACTTTTAAACTTTGAGATATTAGAAAAATTAATTTTTTTTTCATGGCACATTCGTGAAACAAATTTTATTGTCTTCAGTATTGATCAAATACTATAAAAAAATTTGCGTAACTCATTTTTACATATTGTTACGCAGCACAGTGGGCCTTATTGCAAAAAACCTGCCCAAAATCTCTAGATGTGTTTAAAACTGACTGAAATTTGTTACTCGCGGATTTTTTTGGTCGCTGATTACAAATCCGACTTTAGTTTTTCAAAATTCAAAATGGCGGATCCAATATGGCGGACGACTTTTAAAAAAATTGATCGAATTTTAATGAAATTTCCCTATTGAAAATCCCCACATGGGAAACCACATGGGATCCTATGTCAAAAACTATGTAAAACCCCATTCCCCATATGGGAAACCATATGGTTTCCCATATAAAAACTCATGGGAAATTGGGACAGGAATTGGCATAAGAAAATATCAAAACGAGGTTCCTCCATGTCATTTCCTATGTCAAATATCATGTTAAATACCATGTTAAATACTAATTGAGATCCTTTATCACTTTTTTGAAAAATTTTCCCATGTCAAACCCCATGTCATTTCCCAAGTAAAAACCTTTATCATTTTTTTGAAAAATTTTCCCATGTAAAACCCCATGTCATTTCCTAAGTAAAAACCTTTATCATTTTTTTGAAAAATTTTCCCATGTCATTTCCCATGTGAAATCTTTTATCATTTTTTTGAAAAATTTTCCCATGTCAAATCCTCTTTCGCCTTATCGAAAATACCCACATAGGAAAGCATATGGGAATCCACATGGGAAATGGAATACGATTTCATGTGCATTCTTCCAAATGATAAAACAAATAGATTTAAGCATAGGAAATCATATAAGATTTCATATAGATTCTGAAATTTCAACCTAAGATTTCACATGGATTTACATATAGGAAATGATATAGGATTTTATTCGGGAATTTTTTAGTTGGCTGCTTTATGCAGGCGGCAGTTTACAAAAAATTAATTATTTGATTAAATATCAAATAATAATACTTCAACTCATCTGAAAATAAAAAAAAGTTTACTTTACTTCTGCCTTAGACTCTCAGCTTTTATAGTATTCCAGACTGATCTCAACTGTGAGAGAAAATATTTTCACCATCTGGTGGTGAAACAATGAAACTATAATGACGATCAACATCTATATTGAAATTTCCCATGTCATTTCCCATGTGAAATCCTCTTTCATTTATTCGAAAAATTTTCCCATGTCATTTCCCATGTGAAATCTTATCATTTTTTCGAAAAATTTTCCCATGTCATTTCCCATGTGAAATTCTTTATCATTTTTTTCAAAAAATTTTCCCATGTCAATTCCCCTGTCAAACTCCATGTCATTTCCCATGTGAAATCTTTTATTATTTTTTGGAAAAATTTTCCATATCAATTCCCACGTCTAACCTCATGTCATTTGCCATGTGAAATCCTTTATCGTATTCCATTTCCTCTGTGGATTCCCATATGCTTTCCCATGTGGGTATTTTCGATAGGGCGAAAGAGGATTTGTCATTGGAAAATTTGTCAAAAAAATGATGAAGGATTTCACATGGGAAATGACATGGGAAAATTTTTCGAAAAAATGATAAGAATTCACATGGGAAATGACATGGGAAAATTTTTCGAATAAATGAAAGAGGATTTCACATAGTGTTGCATGTCAAGCCGATAAATGCTCGATATCGATTGTTTATACTTGATTATTGATATATTTTGTCAAGCCAAGAAATGTGATTTTCTTTTGTTTTTGATTGACTTTAATCGTTTGAATGTGGTTTTGAAACATCGATCAAACATTATAGAATTATTTCTATTTCATTAGCTTTCCCAGATACAAATACAAATAATATAAATTTGTGTCAAGCAAAATGTCCGAAGATACGAATCAAATTGAAAACAATAAAAGGAAATACAATGAAATAAATGTAGATAATGAGCAAGCAAAGGAAGTTTA